CGGAATGTACACAGAAACTAAATCATGCATGCATAATTCCCTTCACGTACTACAATAATTTGATGATGATCTGTTGCTTTGTTAACGAGGCATCACGTTGCGTAGTGATTTAGCATGCTCGGGCCCCAGGGTGATGCAGATATCACGCACAGGCCGCGGATATTTGGCTTCGCCGATCCGTGGCGGCGCGCCGTCGGCCGCGGGACAAGTCTTTTCTCCCGTACAGTGAGCAGGCAAAATTATTGGGGTTGGGGGAGTACCACTGGGCCGGCGCGGCTGTGGGTTTGGGTGTGCATGCCGCACGCACATGGCGTGTTCTGTTCTCCATGGATGGATACGGATCGATAGCTCTGCCTGTGCGAGGACGCGCACGTTGTTTCGGGCTGTCAGTTTGTTAAGCTTGGTGTTCGATCCTGCAGTTGGACAGGATAGATAGATCCATTCATCCATGCATGCATGGTGAGAGTGAGACCAGCGGCGGATGCAGAAAATATTTTAGGGGGACTGAACGACACATACCTTCGACTGCTGCTCGATTTTAAACCTCAACTCCACATACACTATAAAACTTTGCCTAAAAATTTATTAGAGCTCCATAAGGGTTCCACTGCTCCTCTAGTGGTAGAGGGGGCTTGAGCCCCACCCGCCCCACCGCTAGATCCGCTGCTGAGTGAGACCGATCGAGCGGACGAGAACAGCTGGGTGTGTCTTCTGTATCGCCAGCTTATTATACGTACTTTGCACTGTTCAGCAAATACCCAGCGTCCCAGCCTGATCAAATGCAATAATAATGAATAATGAAAAAAGGAGGAAACATTTATATACATACACTCGATCACTCTTGGCACCTCAGCTCATCTTTTCCTGTATAATGGTGTGCCTACAGACCTAGCTGGGTCCCCACCAAGATACATACTATAGCTTAGCTTTGGTAATAAAGACTCATAAGCTACCTCATTGGCTATCCATCTCATTATATATTCATTCATTCCTTCGATCGAACCGTGCCTCGCAACCACATATCCTGCGTCTCGAAGTGAATAGCAGCGCCTCAGCGTGTATAAGCAGGGTCAACTTGATATGACTCAGCTTCATCGATAAAGTAGTTTTTTTTTTTTGCTTTAGCCCAAAAAACAGCTCTCCCAACATAGCTAAAACTGTTTTAGTCAACCATTTGGGTAAAAATAGGTTCTCCTGGTTGATGAAAAAAAAGAAATGATCATTATACGTTTCTCTATTTTCTCTCTTTTTTCTTTTTCTCCTCTCCTCTTTCTTCCCCACATCGGCCTTTCTTCTCCTCTCTCTCCTGACGCCTCTGTTCCCCATGGCGTTGACGCCTCCCTTCACAACCTACTCTCCCCGGCGGCGCCACGGCCACACCGCCCCTTCCCGCTCAGGAACACCCCGCCCCGCCGTTACGGCCTGTCCCTATCGGGTACCTCCTTGGCGGCGTGGCCCCTCCCTGCGCTTGCCTCACCTGCCGTGGCTGTAGTCGTGCGAACGGAGCACGGGGGGGGGGGCAAAGCCGATCACGGTCGCAATGGACCCCGCCAAACGCAAACGAAGCTAGGAAGAGCTAAAAATTTCAGCTGTTCCTCTCTATCCTCACCTGTCTTAGCGGAAATTCCGAGGCTCATGACATGAAGTTGAGCGGCTAGGGGCGTTTGGTATACAACTGCTCGGAACTGCTTCTCGGAAGCTAGTCCAGTGTCCATAATATGTACCAAACGGACCCTATATCAGTATATCTCATCCTCGAGGACTAACATTAACGCATGCAGTTCAACAATGTTAGTAGCTATGTTAGGCTGCCCAACAATTTATATTAAACTGGCAATGGAGCATAGGTTTCCGATATATAAACGCATCAGATCGATCAGAGATCGATGAGGAAACACAGCAAGGCAGCGAGAGGTCCATGTCTGGTGTGAGGCCGGGGAAGGGGCGAAAGCGACGGATCACGTCTAGCAAAACCCAAACCGAATCGACGAGCGATCGATCATTCACGAGCTGCTGGTCCATCCATCACCCGTGGCAAAAGCGAAGCAGCCATGTGACGCTGCGTGTGCCTGCTTCCCAGTCCCTTCGTCCACGGTCCATCATCCAAGGGCCTGCGTCCTGTGCGTGCATATGCTCGTGCCGGCCTGCCGGCGCCCGCGCATCTGCCGTCCTGTGCATGCCCTCTGCCTCGCGGTCTTCTTTTAATGAGCGCCGAGCGCGTGCATGCATGCATGCAACGCTCCCTTGGCCATGCCGGGCGAGATGCGCGCGTTCGCCCAGAGCCTTGCATGCGGCGGCACGCCGGCACCGACGTCATGCATGGCATGGCTAGCTAGAGGCTCTAGCTGCCTAGTAGCTCGACTAACTCGATCCCTCTTGTCATCACCGGGCTCGTTTATAGCCTGTTCGGCTGGGCTGGCTTGCTCGTAAACGATCATAAATTTTAGTCGGAATAGTATTTTTCTTTCACATAAACCAGCCAGCAGTACTTCTTCACAAATCAGCAACGAAATGAACCAGTCAAACGAACAGACTGTTAGTCGTTACCGCTTTGTGGACAAAAAGCTCTCTGGAACTGGAAGCCTCGAATTTTCTGCTTCGTACGTGCCGTGCCGTGCCCCATGGCCGCCATCCCGGACCCCAAATTAAAGCTGTTGAGGGGGGACCGGGCGACCGGCTGCCCTTGCTTCCGCTGCGTGCGTCCACGCACAACACTGATTGGAATTGGAACGGTAGTGGGCAGAGCAGCAACTGGGGCAACGCTGGACTGGACCCCGTCACTGCTTCCAGGAGCCTTCCTTTCCTCTTGATTTTTGCAGCAGATTTTTTTTCTGGAACAAATACACGTAAAATCAGTACCTGGCAACACAACTGTAACTTCTGGAGAGAGAGAGAGAGGCATGCACCATGCAGATAGCGATGCGAGCGTGCAGTGTTCATGTCGTTGTTGCCAGCAGCTTTCAGTTGTTGCTCGATGCTACCGCTTCGTGGTGCGCCATTATGGAAGGGATGATAGTGTAGTATCAATCGATCCTTTCCGCCTTTACAACTTTCCTTTCGCAGTTACACTCAGACATGACGACGCCTCACACCGTACGTACCGTGGTGATGAGCGAAGCAATGATGCCAATGGTTTGAAAATTCAAAATTTGGAATTTCAAAATCTAAGAATTTAAGTTCCTAAACTATTCCAAGTAAAATATTATTATCAATAGAGTTTTTGAGACCTTTTTTATTTTAGATTTTTCCACATGTAATTTGGGGATGTGCTGTGTCGAGTTTTAATATAATTCTCTTTTCCCTTCGCAAAAAAAAAGAAAAACGGGTGGTTCCTCTCTTGAAAACTATTTACCGCTGCTATTAATTAAGAAAATTAATTAATTATGTTTAAGGGCAGTTTAGTACTTTTCCTCTCTTTACACAATCTCTAACTCCCTAACCCAATTCCACGAATGGGACTTGCTGCTGCTTAGGTCGTGTGATCTCGCTGCTCCCTGCGTCGCCACCTCTCAGGTCGGTGGCTCGCCGGTCGCCGCCTTGCCGCCTCTCTCGGTCACTGCTAATCGCGTCGCCGCCGCCATCACCGCCACCACGCGCCTCCGTAGGGTGATAGGGTCGCTGCCCGCCTCGCCGCCTCTCCGGGTCGCTGCTAATCGCATCGCCGCCGCCCTTACCACCACCACGCGCCTCCCTAGGGTTGCCACCGCCCGCCTACTGCTCCAAACCGGCGGCAGATATCAGCTCTCCTTGCCGCCGGCTGTTTTCCAAGGGGTCGCCGGCGCTTGGCTGCCAGGAGTCGCTGTCTTCCTATGGCTGGTGTCTCCTACGCGGGTCTAAGGACTCGATGCTGCTCCAAATTGCCGGCTGCGGCAGAGGGGCCGGGATACGAGTGGCGGCAAGAGCCTAGCCCTTCTGCGCTTGGCCTTGTCGCGGTGATTGGAGGAGCGAGGGGTACACCTGGGCTCAAGGTTGACGCCTCTTCGGAGTACACAAGTTCGATATCTCCCATCGACTGCTCCTATGCTCCTGGATTCGTGATCTGAGCGAGACGTGCTAGTAGTTAAGAGTTTACTTGGGGTGTAAAATCATCCAACGCTACGGCCTGTTCGTTGGTTGGTTTCTAGACTGATAAGCCCGGCTGGTGCTGGTTTGTTGTGAGAGAAAAACACTGTTGGTTGGCTGATAAGCCCTGGCTGAAATCAATAAGCGAACATGCTATATATATGTGAATTTTTCTTTCTGTGAAATCATCCAACACCATATGTGAATTTTTGTTAAATTTGATGACAAAGAAGGTAGGAAACATGAAATGCAAACCAGTGATGGCATGTGTGTTACCTTTTAAACTGGTTGCACAATACATGTGTATGCAATGCAGCTGCATATTTGCAAAGTAACAGGGTCTCTTGTCCCATATTTACTTCTGTTTGTCACTTGCATGTGCAACTGGTGGTCTGATCATATTTCTTTCAGGGGAAAAGATTGCATTTCCTTTTTTTTTTTATCTTCTTAAGTTCCAGACATATATATACTAGGTTACTAGGCTCAGTAACTGAATTGTTCTGTCAAGATTGTGGAGCTGGACTTTGCATTTTGTATAGAGGAAGTAGGACAAAACTACTGAGTTCGCGAATTATTTATTTGTGATGAAAAATTAGAATATGGGCTTCCATTTGCAATGATAACACGAGCAAAATGGTTTCAACACCGTTTGGTAACATTTCAGCGCCCAAAACTCCACAAACTGGTCACATTTGGTCAACAACTCAACATCCTTATCCTAGGTTTTACAGGAGGAAACCTGCACCATAGACACTCGCACCTCATTCAGCCACGTCTACAGAAAAATCTCGACCGTTTATTTCCTCTCGCTCGGCAACGTCCGCGAAACATCTAGCGCTCATTCCACCTTGAGCCACGAGCAGCAACCCGGCCGCCGCCGCCGCCACCGCCGCCGCTATCGCACCCGAGCTGCTACCCTCCATGACTGCCTCCGCCACCTACGGGACCTCCTCGGTGCAGGCGCACAGCAAATCGTCCCATTCATAGCAGCCCCGAAGCCGTCGCTCACCCCTCCTTGCAGCTGCGGCAGTTGCCATCTCGTTCGTCGCGGTCGCGTCTGCGATGGCAAGCGCGACCCCACGGCAATGGGTGTTGCCCGACGCGGACAAGGGTGGCAATGCTTTAACCGATTCGCCGCTTGATCCAGCCACCGGAACTTGAGAGGAGAAGCACAGTTGTCTCGCGACGTCCGCGACGAGATACCGGCGGTGGTCGCCCCTCGCCTCTCCGATGTTCCTGGCGTCCCCTCCCTTCCCCAGCACATGTCCTTGGCTGTTGTAGCATTCTCCCCACATTGAAGGCAAGGAACGGTGTGCCACGCTACGAGGTCCGTTCCCTGTTGTCTACCTCTGTATGTTCAGAGCACGCATGCACACCAAGTGCTCGATGCTTTGCCTGTGTGAGATGATTGTTGCTGGTAGAGAGGTGGAGGCAGGATACTATGACAGGGTATTCCAAAAATATTTTTCTCCAAAACAACAAAAACCAATAGCAGGTAGAACTAAATATTTTAGTATACACAATGCATATTCTTTGTGTAACAAAAATATGGGTGTTCCATGGAAGACCTAAGAATACCCCTCCTGCTGCCCATGGCTGGTACAATTGCGAGCTTTATGTAATTTCGTTAACCTAGTAATGAAATTTGAGTTACCGTTGTAGAAAAAGGAAAAAATGTGAGATGATTGTTCAGTTTGAACATGAAACATCTGTGCAAATGGATAACTGCAATATTGCTTATTCTATTCATCATCTATCAATGGACAATTGCCGCCATGACACTTGATCACTATCATCAAGCTTTACCTGGACAGGCGCTCCCACCGCTGTTGACTCAGAGCTCTCTCTATGTACTTTGTCTTATTGACGTTGCTCTACTCCTCTAAGGGTGTTTTGGCATTTTTAGATTATTTAGTAGGGAATGTCCTATGTGTTCTTCGACTAGTAGGTATACTCATTTGCATTTTTAGATTTACTACTAAACACCCTTCCCATGGCCTACCAATTATCAACTCCATCATTCACTAGGTGAAGAATTCACTTATTTAGTTAATCGAAAAATTGTTAGGGGCTGGAGAAGTGAAAGTATACCTGTAGCTAGACATGGCAATTAACATATACGGAAATATGGTGGTTATTTAGCTGCATGGTCTTGACATCTTTATTGTTGCTTTGGATGTTAGAGAATATGTTTCTAATGCTAGACTAGAAAGGGCAGAAATTCTTTGCTTATACCCCTTATTTTTCATGCTACTTGAACCATCAGGAAATTAAAGTACCTACTCATGGATTCTAAAAAAGAAGAGTGTGCTATATGAGCTGAAGTAAATCAGTACCTTCCAATTTGCAAGGACTGCAGGGAGGGAAGAAAATTGATCAGAGTGCAAACCATGCCAACTCTATATGATAACTTGTGAAGGGCCTTCAGTTCTAACTCCGATGAATTGTTGTTTCCCTTTTTTCCTGAACTAGACCTTTTGCACCTCAACAATTTAGAAATTTATTTTTGACATTTCTCTTATATACACATACTCTATTTATTTGAAATCAGCATTTTTTTTACCAATGTTGACACTTATATCTATAGAGAAACAGTATATAATTTGTTACCGTTGCCGGCATTCTGAACCCACTACTAGGTGCATTGTTGCATACTTAATTGCTGAAAAAAAATCTAAAACACAAGGGCTTAACACTATTATTGCAGGGTTGAAAGTGCATCTAGCCCTTTAGTGGGTTTTGCATGATTGAATGACAACGTGATTAAATGTCTAACCCGTTTGCTAAGTATGAACAGGAAATGTGTTATCTCACATATATTTAATGAAAGCCAAAATGATGTATTGTTGAAACAATCTAGTTCAAACACAAGACAACAATGCAAATGTAATTCATGTAAGGCTTATTCATTGTGGGATTTCAATAACTCATATGAAAGCAGGCACGTTGAAAAATAATTAATGAGACAAGTAGGATTGCATATGGAATGGTCTCAAACTTGCTATATGAAAGTCAAGTATACAAATGAACTTAATGAATGATTCGACACCAAGTGTGACTAGATGGCTTGAAATGGTGAAAATAGCAAGGAAAGGCTTCGAGGTACTAAGCAAGGGTGAAGACAAGCAACGGTTTGACGACCGAGGAACCTAGCTATGATGAAGAAGCAAGTACTTGCATTTAGTCAAGGCACCAATCAAATCATGTTGGTCATATTGAAGTGAAGAATCAAATCCTAAATGACTTTATAAAGGAATGACTTGATATCTTTGAAGCAACTCTTATATGTTGAATATAATCAAGTCAAATGCTCAAGATGGCAATGCTCAAGGATAAAATCAAAATCAACATGTTAACACCCTCATTTGATGAAGGTTGAAGGCTATGACATTTTGGTTTAAGCAAATTCAACTCAAGCGCTTTAAACTCCATTTTCATTTCATCTTGAATTAATAGGTATGTCGTACTATTAAGAGGGATGCATCATGTTGATAGATAATCATTCATGAGTGCTCAAGCCAACCCATTGTGAGATCTGAGTGTTTGAGAGACAAAATAGCTAACTTGTTTTCTGCTGGTCTGGCAATACCGGATACCGGACGTGTCCGGTGTTTGCCCAGTCACAACAATTCCTTCGTTGTCTCGGCTTGGCTCGTCGGGAGTTCCGGGGGTCGAGAGTTTCGGCGATCGTCGGGAGTTCCGACATCTCGCGCGTCACTGACAAAGTGACCGTTGGGGCTGTACGGTATTCATATCGGACGTGTCCGGTATTGTCCAACGGTCACATAACGACTAGTTTTTCAAAGGGGCTATAAATACCCCTTAGCCTCCACCTTTGGAGGGTGCTGATTTTGCTGACTTTCTCACACGTTTTTGAGCCTTGAGAACACTCTCCAACCCTCTCTTAGTGAGTGATTGATTCAATCTTGCAAAATCCATCTTGTGGGTTAAGAGAGATTCAAATTTGAGAGCAAACCACCCTTAAACACTTGTGCATATTGTCGATCTCGTGATTTGCATTTGTTACTTTTGGACTCTTCGATCCTAGATGGCTAGGCATCGCCGGAGAGCACTCAAGATATTGTGGTGTGCCTCGGAAAATTTGTAACGGTTCGATTCCACCGCCATAAGGGAAGGAATCAAGCTAGTGGAAGGAGGAAAAAGGAGTTGGAAAAGACTCCTGCTAGAAGTGGCCTTCGTGGTCCTCTAGAGCTGACCTTTGCTTGGTCACTCGTAGCCCCCTCAACGGAGAGTAGGTCTCGACGGAGGCCGAACTTCGGTAAAACACATCGTGTGTCTCGATCTCTCTTTTCATTGAGTATTTGTGATCCACTTGTGTTGCTTGAACTTGTGAACAGGTTACTACTAAGTGCCAGCAACTTGGTGTGAAAGGAGAAATCAAAAGGATTAGTTGTGAGTTGATGGGCAGAACCCATGTATACCGGACGCATCCGGTATTTGTGGACTCTGTTGTTTTATTCAATCTTATTTCTAACCTTTGTGGTGCAGAGTTTTAGCTCCTAGATACCTTACACATACCTTGTTTACTCTGTTAGCTAACTCGTGAGGGGTTTATTTCTCTGATTAAGAGTCTCCAACACTAATCGTTTCCGTATTTTAAAGGGTTGAATATTTAGAAACGTCTATTCACCCCTTCTCTAGGCGGCATCCTCGGTTCTTTCAAGGGTTATAGACAGCGGTGCACATTCATAGTGCTTCATAGATCAAACCGTTGTTGCATCAAACAAATTGAATAACAGACATAAGGTATCATTGTACCAAATCTGTATACATCGATAGGCCTCTCCTACATCGATAGGTCCATCCAAGGAGGGCGCGTTTCTAGTCTGTAACGGATATAATGGATTTTAGGCGCCCAATGGACAACCAAAAATGTATGATGCCTCTGTTAATACATGATTAACTGACCTGAATTTTCATACACCATCCAATTTCATCTAAAAAGAAAATTCTGTCAAAAAAGCATCATAATGACCTAGATCACGACCTTTTCAGTCCGTTAGCAGCTGCAAGCCTATCTATCTTCATATAATTCTTATTTTAAAATGGATGCCACCAAGATAAGATTTTGACCATAATCGATGACGTGCAAAAGCCTGCAACTGACCGACCAAAAACCAGGGGTCACAGTGCTCATTGACAGACACCTTCCCTAGGCGGGGACCCTCAGCACTGGAGACAAATGACAGAGCAGAGAACTAAGATGGATACCACCTTACACTGAAAATTAGAGCACTCTATTGTTAGGCAAAACAAACAGTACTAAAAGGCATATCATAAACATGGAAATCTTAATACATTTGTAAATTTTAGATTCAAGAGTTTAACTCAAGGTCCAATTTCCTAGAGTTACAAGAGTTGCACATAAAGTGCAATTATATGTAGTTGCAAGATCTCATCATGACACGAATGAACCCGACCACTAAAATCGTTCTATTTGGACTTTTTTTTATAGGGTGTTGCATTCATTTCTCATGGGAGTGTAGGATTTCTAGGATCTACGCTTGTAAGCCTTTCTTTGTGGGTCTCCAGTGCAAGGAAAAGTTTTTACATAGTTATTTTGTTGGGGTACAAGATGAAATAAAGAATAGGGTAATAAGGAATTTGAAAGTGTTTAGTGTCTCAAAAATCATTTATTATTTATTGGTTCTCTCCCGTAACTTTTCTCACGCATCCATGTTTTATAGCGCTATATATATATAGTCCCAAATATTGAAACGGTCTGTAAGCCCAAATCTTCTAGAAGATGTACTACATAAAAAATCCTGTTCGATGCGCAACATTCGGCCCAAGCTCTGGAAAATGTTCTGTCATGGGCCGAAACTTAATGGAGACATAAACTGATCGATCCAAATACGCGATGACATATCCTCTATTGGGCCTGTTCCCTGGTCATCTGTGCCTGCACTTCCTGCTTCACCCAGCTACGACGCGGGACCGACGGTGACCTTCCACGTTTGGCCATTTGGGCTTGGCCGAGTGACTGTTCCAGTTTCAGCACCCTATGCGTGAACTCGCGAGAGTGGTCACGGCTGTGGCTTCGGGCAACAAATTCCGTCAAATTCGTTGCCGCGAGCACGCCCGCACCGGCGGTGAATCCGTGGCAGCTGGCAAGGCTTGTTGTGGTAGCGGGACCGCAGACGGACGAGGTGGACTGTGCCGGCCGGGGCCGATGCACCCTCTCGAAGTGGAAGCTCGTCGGGCGGGCGGCTACATAGGTTGCTGCGCACTACAAGCTCACGCTCGTGTCTAAGAAGATGCTGTAGAATCAGTT